ACCAGATATTTTCAAAACAAAAGACAAAACAAATTTCTCTAAGTAATTATATTTAAAATATGAGGTAGTGTGATCAAGAAACATACCTAAAGTTTTTAAAACAAATGTTGATTAAGATCTTTAAATTTTTATGTCACTAGAATTTCCCCCATATCCCACATATTAAAAATAATATTTTTAAAAGAAAATGAATAGAAAGAAAACTCACCAAAAACAATAAATATGTTGAAAAAAATCTCAAACAGGTACAGTGTACAATACTTATTAGGTATATATCAATGTACCAATTAAGTGGATTTTTAGTTTTTCAGTATATACTGTTTGTAGAGGGCAAGGATTGTCTTTTGCCTCTTTTTGCATCCAAAGCACACATAGTTGGCACTTACATGCTTACTGAGTGTTGAGACTTGTGGACCTCTCATCTCAAAAGAAGGGTAGGGAGGAATGTCTTCTTTTATCTCTTGTTTAGAGCCATGCTTGTTATAAGTTTGTACCACTTTTGATTGCTTTGTGGTTATTCTTTATACTTACATTGTTATAGTCAAATTTATATGTTGTTTTTGTGGTTCTATTTCACTTTGCATCAGATCAAGTAAATTACTCTATGCTTTTTTTGAATTCTTCATATTTGACAATTCTTACAGCACAGCAATATTCCCTTACATTCATGGACCATAAATTGTTTATACACTCCGCAATCAACAGGCACAGGCTATTTTCAATTCTTTGCTATCCCCAAAAGTTACTATAAATATTTCATGTATATGAGGATTTATTTTTTACTATAAATTATCTCCTTGGGCACAAGTTCAATAGTGGAATCTCTGGGTCAAGGGATATGGATATTTTAGTCCAGCAGATATTATCAGTGGTGACGAGGAAGGTGGCCCCTTTCTCAACAATGATTTCTCTCCTCAGTGATAGCTGTGGGAACTGGACTGGAAGAAGTAGCCTGGAGGGCAGGGGGGAACACTGCTATTCCCTTCTCCTGTCTTACTGCTACATTTACCTTTTCTAAAATTCTATCTAATAATTATGAGGAGAGAAGACATCCTTGCTTTACTCTTTTTTTTCCTTTTTTTTTTTTTAAGCTAGGCAATGTGCTTAAGTGACTTGCCCACGGTCACACTGCTAGTAAGTGTCAAGTGTCTGAGGCTAGATTTGAACTCAGGTCCTCCTGACTCCAGGGCCGGTGCCCTATCCACTGTGCCACCTAGCTGCCCCCTTGCTTTACTCTTGAATTTATTTAGGAAAGCTTCTAGTATATGGCCATTGCTTGCTTTTGGCTCCTAACCAATAGGGCTTTTGGCATAAATAAGTATTGCTCTTTGTCAAAGACTTTTCCCACAACTACTTTGATGATAACATGGTTGTGGAGGGATTTTTATTAATTATGTTGCTTGCTTTTCTAAAGCTGATCCATCTATACATCCCTGATAGTAATCCAACTTGGTCATAATGAATGAGTTCTTGGATAAATTGCTTAATCTGTTTAACAAGATTTTATTTGAAATACGTGAATCAATAGTCATTAATGATATCAGTCTATAATTTTTCTATGCTTTATCCTTCCTTGGTTTAGGTACCAGGACAAAAGCTGTCTCACAACAGGAATTTGATTTTGAGAAGAATTTGTGTAGTATTGGTACTAACAGCTCTTCAAAAGTTCTACAGAATTCTCCTGTGACCCAAAGAGGACCAAAAGTATTTTTTCTTTGGTAGCTTCTTTATGGCTAACTCTACTTCTTTATCTGAAATTGGATTATTTAAGATCATTATTTGGTCTTCTGTTAGTTTCAGTAATTTATATTTTTGAAGGGATTCCTCTATTCTTTCTGTGTTCTCAGTTTTGTTATAACTTATAACTGCTGAACAAGTTCTTATAAATCTATTTGTCTCTTTGGCTTTTGTTGTGATTTCATCGTCTGTTTTTTTTTTCATTCATTTGATTTTCTGCTCCTTTATTCGTAATCAGATTGGCAAAGTTTTACTAATTTTGTTAGTCTTTTCAAAGAATCAGCTTTTAGTTTTATTTCTGATTTATATAGATTTGTTGGCTTCCAGTTTATCTATTCCTCTTCTATTTTTTAACATCCTTAATATCTAATTTTGTACTTATTTGGAGTGTGTTTATTTATTAGCTTTCAATTTTTAAATGCATACTAATTCTATTAATCTTCTAATTTTTTAAATGAAATTTTTTTCAAGCAGTAAAAATCCAACTTCTTGTCCTCTCAATGGCCCACCTCCATTACTGAGAACAAAAGAAAAGCAAGACCCCTGTTACATGCATATATGCATGTGTTTATGTATGTATTTGTGTATGTATGGGCAAGGAAAACAAATTTTTGCACTGACCATCTCCAAAATGATATACCGACACATACAAATATGATGTATATAAACACACATATATGTTCCATTCTACACAGTGAGTCTTTCCTCTATTTGGAGGTGGATAGCATGTTTCACTGGTAATCTTCTGGAATCATGGTTGGTCATTATGAGATGTGAGAGGTGAAGAGATGTCATCACTATACGTACAAAGTTGTTCAAAGTACATCTTGACAATACAGTTGTTACCATATAATTATTCTCCAAGTTCTGTTTATGTCCCTTTTTATCAGTTTATTTAATCTTTTCAGGTTTCTCTGAAGCCATTCTCTTCATCATTTCTTGCAGCACAACAATATTATATCACATTTATTATATATTCATAACTTATTTAGCTTTTCTCTAACTGATGGATTCTCTCTCATTCTTAGCCACCTCAAAAAGAGTTTTTGTATATCTATGACAGTCTGTTTTACTTAAAACAGCTCCCTCCCTTAATATATCCTCCTTCTAACGTCTCTTTCTCCCTTCTTCCTTTCCCTAGCTTTTTTATGATGGAATTCTTTGTTTGCTCATTCATTTACTTTACTTCCTCACTTAGGACCTGTTGTTAGGGCTGGGCTCTGCACATTTCTCAAAGATTTGGGGAAGTCCAGTTGCTGAGAGAAAGACAGAGACACAGACAAAGAGACAGACAGAGAGAGAGAGAGAGAGAGAGAGAGAGAGAGAGAGAGAGAGACACTTTTAGCTCTAGTTCCTTGAGTAGTGTGCCCAACTTTTCCTGTTATTTATGTTTCTGTTATATTTGTCTGAAGCAAAGGAAGAGACAATGAATTGTTCTTGCATTACTGTATTACTATGACTTCTTGAAATTCAGTTAATATTCCTTTATGAATTTAGATACTAAGGCATTTGAACAATTTAAGTTTAATATTAATGGTGGTCTGTTTTCTATGGCTCCTTTCAGCATAATGCAGTTTCTTTATCTATTTTTATGCTGTGGATTTTTATCTTTGCTATATCTGACAGCATGATTGCAACTCCTATGTTTTAGGCTCATATGATGTACAGTAAATTTTGTTATAGCTCTTCATTTTTACTCCTTTTTTTGTTTATGAGTTGTGTTTCTTTTAAGCAAAAGATTATAGGGGTTTTTTTCCTTATCAATTATCACTTTTTTCACTTTATAGGATCATTTAAATCATTTACATTTAGAATTATAAAACTAAGCGAGTATCTTCCTCCAGTTATCTCTCTAATAGGTTTTTCCTTCAAATTAGGCAATTTTTTTCGTTCCTTTTCCTCTGTAGAGACAGTACACTTTGCCATTTCCATTATTTGTGCACAATTTACTTTAATGCAGTCCTATTCTTACTTGTTTCACTTTCTTGTTTTTTTTCTCATTTTGTGCATCTTTTTCTAAAAAAAATTTCTTTTCTTCATTCAATGGGAGAATAAGAGAGACATCAAAAAACATGTTTAAAACAATGGGAAAGAAAGGAAGAAATCCTGTTTCAGTGATGAGAGTGGGTCCCACTAAAGAATGCTCCCATGGGAGAAAGATATTCTGTAAGGTAGACAGAGACCTTCCAATATGTAAATTCTGCAGGAATTTGGTGCCTAAAGAAACCACTAATCTTGAACGCAACTATAAACTAGAAATATGAGAGAGGTCATGAACCCTGAAAGGAGTTTTCATGGGAAATTCTGGAAGAAGTTGAGATTGGGGAAGCAGAGATGATAGAGAAGGCAAAGAGCTGTTAAAAACTGTACAATCAAGGACAAAGGAAAATTCCTACCATGATGCAATATTTCTATCTTTTTTATCATTTGAAGAAAGTAGCATTTCTAATAGTGAGGAACAACAGAGAAAGGGAGCTGAGGGCAATATCTTCAAGAAAATAATATAGAAATTATTTAGAAGACAGAACTTAAAATGCATACCTTAGATACTCTAATTTCATGAGGAATAAAGAAACTAAAGGGAAAATGTACAAATATAAGTGCCATGAATCAAAGAACAGACAGAAGAGTCTATCTAAAATAAACAGGAAAATATAAGAAGGGAAATAAAGGAATGAAATAAAAAAAATCCTTCTTAGGAAAAAGGTAAAGAAAATGAAAATTTTTAAAACATACAAAACAAGGTGAAGGGAAAGAAAGGAAAGAATATTTTACTTGTCTACTTAACTGAGAAAAAAGGAGGGAAAGAACTAGAAAACTAGAAAAAAGGAAAAAGGAATTAATAAGTAAAGCAAAACTCCAAAATCAGGGAATGAAGTGACAAAATACGTATGAGCAATATGAGGGTGAAAGAGAGACAATGGGACTAGAGTTGCCTTCAAGTAGATTAAGCTAAAATAATTTAAGAGACAAAAGTGCTGTTTTTACAAAACAAGAGGTGGGAAAAGTCCTAATTTAGGTATTTCAACCAATTACTGGACTTGGACCCAAAGCATTACCACAGAGAGATTAAGTAAATTACTCAAAATCACAGTAGTAAATGGCAGACATGGGATTTTAACCAATATTTCCAACCTCTAAGTCCAACATTTTATCACTACTACCACACTGACTTAAATACATAAGCTTAATCCTTCCAAAAGAATAACTGATTAAGCAAGGATGAATATTGCTAAAATTATATGCATAAGTATGATACTTACTAAGTAATTGTCATCTTGGAAGGCATAGTGCAAAGTTGTAATCCACTTGTTGTCTCCATTCACTAATACATCCCTCTCTTCTCGAAAACATGCTGTCTAAAAAGAAAAAATAAAATTTCAGTAATTATCATATCCTGAATAAAAAATATTATTGACATATTTGTTCTTTAAAAAAAGGATTATAGTTATGTCCTATTAGTTTTTAAAGCCCACTCATATATGACATTTACTCCTCGGAACCACAAAATTAGAATACTATTTTTTCTGTTTATAACAGCTTACACAACAGTGGAACAAACAATATACTGCTAAAAGTAAACATATTTTGCACACTGTAATATCTTAGTGCAGTATAAGTAATCACTGCTATACCATCTCCACTGAAAATTCAATGCATAACTTTCGTTTATGTTCATGTCCTCCCATAAGTGTTCCTCAGAAACTCTACACGTATTTCAGAGTCCTTTCTTTGCGACTCTTAAAACTCCATTCCAGGTTCTTATTAAATTATCAGTTCCTTTCCTTATACATTTACTTGATGATATTTTACTTCTTTCATATAAGTCATCATTGATAATATGCAGCAGTTTACTTGCACCTATTGTGTGTCTCTCCATTACTTTTTAGGTCAACCATAAATATGGATTTTCAGAGATCCTGGCAATCAGAATTTCAGCCATAACTGAAAGAATACTAGTGTGAAAAACATCAGGCTTCCATTTCTAGAAACCACTCAGATAAATGAAAACACTGCACAACTTTACAAATGAAATCTAGTTCACATTCCTTCATCTACTCAATTCAGGTCACTTTTATTTATGGTGTCAATCTAAGACACATTATATTGAGGATTAAATACTCATCCAATTGCAATGTCTGAGCAAAAGGTCATCCACTTGATTTTTTCTTTTTTTTTTTTGCCTTGTGAATTATAGGTTGATCACTTTTGAGTGACCATGGGCCACAGTAAGGGAACCCTTTAGTATTATGGGACTTGATGTAAATACTATAATGTTATCCACCAACAGTTGCATCTAGAGGATCTTGTAATATAAATGAAAACCTTCCATTTGAACTGCACCAAGAGTAGTCTGTTACAGTAGTGAAATCCAAAGCTAAATACTTAAATATTATCCAATATTAAATATTTAAAATATTACTTAAAATGTGACTCGTCAAAAACTTGTAATTAGATAATTGCTTAACAGTTATCTCTATAATCTAGACATGACAAAAGTATTTTCATTTGGTCTCTTTCTTATCTCAATGCCTTTGTTAACCATCCTTAACTTCTTTCAAATCCAAGTATGTGTTCTCCATTCTCACTACTTTCACCTTACTCTATCTTCACACAGTCTTACTCACTTATTTTACCCAGTTCTAACAAATAAAGCACATTTCTTTCTCTACAGCCCTGCTCATAATTCATAGTGATAGAGAGCAGAACTAGATCTGGAACTGCTATGGACAGCCTCCCAGATGAGTGCCTTCTCTGCAACTGATCATCTTACAAAGTTGCCTAGGGCATTGAAATGTTCAATCACTTGTCCAGGGTCACACAGACAGGATTTGAACTGGTCTTCCTCAACATGAAGCAAGATCTTTGTCCCCTAAGCTATGCTATTTCTCATAACTCATATCTTATCTAAAGTCTTCCTGGCTTACTGCTGTAATAACTTTAATTGTACCTTTTTTTTCCCTCTTGATCATACTATCTTCTACTTTAGTTTTAATAATTCATTGACAAAATTAGAAATTTCTTTCTTATTTATAAGCTTTAACATTAATCAAATATATACTTATATAACTGTACCACCAAAATACTTAATGTTGTGGCCAAATGGCTCAGCAGAAGCCAATGTTATAGGAAGGTGAGATCTTCCCCTCCCCTTCTCTAGTCCACCTATTCAGATCCCAGAGAGTGGCCTGAAGACACAGAAGGAGCAAGCCCCAGGAAGCCCTTTCCTTACTCCCTGCGGCCAAAGTTCCATTAAGCAGTGTGTGTTCCCTTCCCTAACTACATAATGGCACTCCTGTTATCCACAGTCCTTATAAATCAGAGATCCCACACATATCAGAGGCATGGCCATTAACAACACCTGAATGAGAGTAGGGACTCAGTCCAAACAATCCTTCAAGTAAGATACTGAACTACCAGCCTTTATAATATGCTCTGTAAAGTCCACCACACCTTGCCGTCTGCCTTGCTGATCTACCCTCCAGACCTGCTGCTGTATTCTAAGGCTTCTAGGGCTTGTCATCCAACCTGCCACAGCACCCTAAGTTTGCTGGCCCTGCAGCCAAATTCTGACATATGTGCTCTCTCTCCTTAATTAGAATATAAACTTTTTGAGAGAAGAAACTATCTTTTCTATTTATGTCTAAAGTTTAGTACACTGTATGGCAGATAAGTAAGGACTTAATTTTTTTTCCCTTCACTGATACTTTTCAAATGGATTTTCAAAATTTAAAAGTTTAACATATAGCATAAAATATTTTTATTAATCTTTGTAATTTCAACAAGTACTCAAGTAGCTTTTGAATTTCTTACATACTTTTCTCCTATTTTGTAGTAGGAGAAATTAAGCAATATAGTTAAACAATAGCTACACATTAAGAAAAATCAAACATTTTCCCTATTAAAATCACTTCCCTAAAAAATCCAACAGCCAAAAAAAAAGTTCTAGTTCCTATATGGTTATTACTATATGCAGGGAATTACTGATTTTTAAGGATGAGGAATACAACTTGGGGATATTATTAAACACATATGAACTGATGCAAAGTAAATAGAACAATGAAAACAACGTACATAATCAACACAACAATATGAATGGGAAAGAACATGAACAGCATAAAAAATATAACAATGAGACTGAATAGTGTGTACTTACAACAAAACTAGTCCCAAAGAAGAGATGACCAAATGAATTTCTTGCTCTTTAATGGAGAAATGTGAGATTATAAGTATAGAATGTTGCAGAACCTACTGTTAGAGTGTGTTGAAATGCTGTTAGTTTTGCTGAACTGCTTTTTTGAAAAAATCTAATGGCATACCTTTCAGAATGGGAGGGGGGTGGGGTGGAGAGGAATCTATTTGGATATGAGGTGATATAAATAGAAAAGCTGTCAAAAGGCTAAGACATAGAAAGAGGGCATGTTATAGTTCAAAGAATAATAATATTGTGGTTGAAACTAACTGTGTGACCTTATACAAATGAAGACACCATCATCCTTTTGGGGCCTCAGATTAATAATCTTGGCTTCATCCTTCACTCCTCACTTTCTTTGCCCCTAAATATCCAATTAGTTGCTGAACTTTGCCTTTTCTACCTTCACAACATGTCTAGCATATGACCTGTTTTCCCCTCTCACACAACGACCACATTTGCTCAGGCCCTCATCACCTTGGGCCTAGATTATTTCAACAGCTTCTTAATTGGTCTCACTGCCAAAGTGATTTTTCTTAACTTCAGATTTGACCATCTGACTCCCTTACTCACTCAAATCACATGGCTTCCCAAGGTCTCCTAGGATAAAATACAAACTTGTGTTTACCTTTTAAAACCCTGTACAACCTGGACCCAATCTAACCTTTGAAGCCTCACTGGACATTCCTTCCTCTCCCTTAATCTGAGATTCAGTCAAACAGATGTTCTCTCTATTCTTCATTCACAATACTCCATCTCCCATCTCAGCACCTTTTCAAAGCCTGTCCTATATGACTGAAACACAATCCCTCTTTACCTTGGCCTCACAGAGTCCCTCTCGTCTTTTAAGATAAAAATCAGCCACCATATTCTAAATGAAGTCTTTCCTGATCTTCCCAAGTGCTGATGCTTTCCCTCCCAAATTATCCTTCACTTAACTATTTTATATCAATTTAATCTGCATTAAATTTTTTTCTTCAGTTTGAATACAGAGCAGATAAATAATAAAATAATAAATCAAGCCTTGATTTGATTTCCAAAGTGTGAAGGTTCACAGACAATTTAACAATCAGCTCTCCAGTTCCAGCTGATTCCAGCCCACTTCTGTTAAAAGCTCACTTCACAATATAACAAGTGTTTGGGGCTGAGTCAAGATGGCACAGTGAGAGGAAGCATTTTTGCCTAGCTCATCCAATACATTTACTCTACAACAATTCCAATGAAAGACTAAACCAAATTCTGATCAGGAAAGCCAAGAAGAAGTCACAGTGAGTCATTTTTCCACTCCAGGGCAGTTTGAGGAGACAGAGAAGTTTGAGGATACAAGGACTAGGGTTGGCCGACAATGTGGTATGGTTAGAACAAGTGGCATTCCTGGCCCCAGGGATGAAAAGAAAAATGAGATACAGCAGGAAGGCAGGAAGCACCAGGTTAGAAAGAAATCCTAGGAGATCTCTGAACTAGTACTGGGTACAGGAATTGGTGTCATCTGGTGGCTCTGTTGCCCATTACCTAGTTCTAGGTCACATATCCAGGGGAAAAAGAGCAGTCTCAAGTGTAGGCCCATTCTAGCTATGAAAAAAGTTTGGGAAACATAGTTATATAGCTCTGAGCCCAAGAACAGAGCAGCATGTAGTAAGCTCTAGTCTTTGGTCTCACATCTAATCCTGCAATGGAATAATTAGGGCAGGAATCTCAGAACACAGGGGAGGCAACAGTTCAATCATTCTCAACTTGCAGAGCCTCCTAATGGACTGTGCAACTGAATCCAGCAACAGTCTTTTGAAATTCAACCACTGACAAGTTAAGAGACCCACACCTGGGTCAAGAATTTATTAGAGCTCATGGGACAGCTAGGTGGCACAATAAATAGAGCTCCAGCCTTGGAGTCAGGAAGGACCTGAGTTCAAATCTGGTCTCAGATACTTGACATTTACTAGCTGTGTGACCTTGGCAAGTCCCTAAACCCTCATTGCCTCACCAAAAAAAAAAAAAGAAGAATTTCTAAAGCTCAGGCACTGAATAGATCTCTCATCAGATCACATCAATCTGGGAACACTGAAAAGTTGCAGGCCCCTAGACTGAGCTCCTACATCCAAAGCCTCCAAGAAAAATATGAATCAGTCCCAGGCCATGAAAGAGCTCAAAAAGGATTTTGAGAAGCAA